AAATAAATATATATATCTAATGTGTAAATAATAAAAAAAAGAAAAATAAACAAATATTGAAACATTGAAAAGGATTCAATAAATGCAAGTTTTTTTGATCGTATCAAATAATTCTGTAAAAGAAAAATCAATAAATAAGGTCATTAATCAGGTCATAAGATCATGATCATTAAAGTAAGTGATAAGTTTTTTTTTCTTTATTTTATATAAATATATATAAGAGATTTTATCAAATAATTATGAAATCTAATATGTATCAGGTAAGTATAAGAGAAATAATATTTAAACAGAGAAAAAATAATAATAATGGATAGTCTATTTCTAGTTCAATCAATTGAAGAAATATTGATAAGAATTTATTTTTCAATAGTTTAATTTTAATAGTTTTCACTAAGATACCTTATTCAATAGAATCTTAATCTTTCTAGAATGAATATCTGGGCTACTTGTTCCTGCCATCTAATTATTTCAACAAGTTATCTGTTTTTTCATTAGTTTTAACTTATCCCTATGTCCTTTAATCGCATAACCTATTCAGGCCCTTTTATGAAAAGCCTACGACCTTTTGCTACACAAGTTACAAAAAATCACTATAAACGGCATCGTGATGGTTGGCAATGTGCATTAAACAGAATGAACAATAATCGTATGTCCATTCCCGAGCTGCTAAATTCTAACTGCCGATTACTATTCAACAAAATGGGCTATCTGCAATTCCTACTAAGTCAAAATATGTATCGTAATTGTGGTGTCATCACAATTCAAGAATCTTGATTAAATGATTTACAGGACGACTGCCTAGTATCACTACGTGATTTACAAATTTATCGTCAGGATCGATCAAACAATAAAAAAAGGTGTGGCGGTGGTGTAGCTACGTTTGCAAACGTAAACTGGTGTCGATCTTTGTTTGTGTGTTTTAGGTGTTCAAATGACTTGGCCAGGCAATATCAGCAACAGCCTACTGTTGAAGAGGACAAACCACATTTCAGAGGATGAAGAAATCAAGAAGAAGCGCTGGAAGTGGATAGGATACACAATGAGGAAAGCAACCAACGGCGTCACAGGACAAGCCCTCTGTTGGAATCTACAAGGCCAAAGGAAAAGAGGAAGACCAAAGAACACATCACGCCGGGAAATAAAGATAGACATGAGAAAAATGAACAAGAATTGGATGTAACTAGAAACGAAGACCCGGGACAGAGTGGGTTGGAGAATGCTGGTCAGTGGCCTATGCTCCATTGGGAGTAACAGGCATAAGTAAGATATTTGTCATCTACTTATAGTTTTATTTTAGAAATATTTAAATAGAAAATTTTAAATAATTTCAAGTTGAAATTTACCGACTAGACAACATTTAAAAGTGATCATTATGTGATTTCTAAGAAGCTGATTAGATTCAATGTGTTACTAAGATGCATTAGATCAGATCAGTTCTAATGTGACACAAAATGTATTGAATTTCATAGATCGATCATTTAAACAATATAATGTTAACAGTAATACTATTTTTTTAATAAGTTTATCCAGAACTTATGTTTGTTTGTTTTTTAAGTTCATCATTCATTTAAATTGGTCTCAATCTATCTGACTTGCTCATCCAATGTTATCTAAAAGTTTAATAGTAATCACAAAAATACCTTTGAAAAGGTGAGCATTAGGTTAATTGTCGCATATATTAAAATGAGCCTTCATGTAAGATTCAGAAGATGTATGAAATTTCAGGTTATCTTAGGCGTTTCTTTGATTGAAGAATTCATTTTTGTGCTGTGGGGTGACAGTTAGGTGCTAAGGCCACCTCAATAACGGCTTTTAACGCACACCTTTTTTTGATTAGGCTGAAAATTTTAATTGTTAGTCCAAATGCAGAGAAATCATTTGATTGATAATGAAATATCTGCAAGCGTCCAAGTTTATCACAATACTGGACTGATATGAATAGAGTGTTAGATTCGACATTTCTGCATGCTTTCACAGGTTCAGTGGAATCATGAAGTCATGAATAACTGATTCTATAAAATATACATTGTTACGAAAAAATTCTGGTATTGTTATGACTGAGAACACAACTATGTTACTTACTTCTGAATAACGGAACAAGAATTTATATCGTTTGAGGCAAAGAAGAAAGTAAGACTGAAGTTAAAGTTTTGTCAATACACCAACCACAAATTCACAACTGATCAAAAACATGAAAAATTACAGTTTGATGTATCATTTTTAATCTCCGGTCAGCAGATAAATTTGAAATTATCGGACTGGCAGAAAGTGATATTAACTAATATTATGATTTATGTAAACAGTTAATAATATTAATATTGATAGTACATCAGCTATTCTGAGAAATATAGCCAATCATCGAAGTGTATGACATCAGGTATCTTATAACTAAATTAGTTATCGAGAATCCATAATATCAAGTCAATTTCTAACAGTTTAGGAAAGATAACTGAAAATATTTAATTTTGAAGTCGTTTTGCTCTCTGAGCTGGGTGGCTTAACTGTGAAGCTTTCATTACGTTCCTTCATGACTTCATCAGCAAAGAATTTGTTAACGAATTATTAGAATGCCTCCACAATTGATTAGCTGCTTATTCTGTTGACCAAGAATTTAGTTGATTGTTATCCATAGGTGTATGGCCATTGTTTCCATGTTAGTTTTCACCTCTGGCAGAAACAAAATGCCCTCGAAATCCTCACCTTGAATTACAACTATTTTCTATTATTTCGAAACTACTTCAGCTTCCATAGACGGTGAGTAAATTGAGGTATTGTTTAGTATTAAATTTTTTTATCATGTTCATAGTCACAATATAAGGCATCTAACGTATTCTGACTCATGTATTCAGTTCTTAGCTTCGACTTTTGATTATGAAAGCTTGATACACTACCTGAGCTGTTGGCACTTTTGATTCCATTTTCATCAATCAAATCAGAAATATAGATGGTATGTGATGGAGACCCCAGAAAATATTCTGCTGGAAATAACGGTTGAATATTAATTCAAAAATTTAGGAACTAGACAAGCGATGTCTATTCTACAACATGTTAATCATAATCTTCGTCTAACCATAATGTGACTTTACATGAAGAAACTATTTATTTCTCTTTGTACTGAGCGTAGTTTGGATTTTCAACATAGTAATTATCGAGAATTATTTACAATGAAGACATCTTGTTATTATTACTCGTTCATTAGAATCATTACCTCATTTATGAATATAAATTCACTGTTAACTATAAAACATAAACGCATAAAAAATGTTATAAACAAAAGTGTATGCAATACCCATTTCAAAATGACCCACAATAATTTCAAATGACTTGAACAGTATTTCTTATATTTTATACTCAAGATTCATATTTAAATTCAATGCTTTGATTGGTCTAAAATAAACAAAGTGGAAACACAGTATCAATGTTCTAACTGTATACTTCACCTGAAACAGAAAGTACAAGGAGCTAATTGTTAGAGAAGTTAGTATTTCTATATACTACTTCTTCATCATTGACTTATAAAACAATCTACTTTTTATAACTAGCTCACCCTTGTCGTTTTGTTATGATTCAGTTCAAACACTCCATTATTATATTAGGTTTCACGTATTTTTAAAACTGATGTAATAGATTTCATCGAGGCCACTTTTGAAAATCTGGAATTACTAGACCGCTGTTCCGTCTTAATATGGGACTCTTCGACAACGCATGTTCATACCCTACCACAGGGAGTCGAACCCACGACCTTCAGTCTCGTCAATGAACGCTAACGAAATTGATCATTGGTCCGGTATTCAGTAGTGGTAATATCTAACTTTAATCAATTCGCTATATTGTACAATCCTCATCCAATACCTGATGTGGATTGTTTCACGGCGAATAAGGTTGAATTTCACTCGTAAAGGCTTCTTACTAGAATCTCATGTGTTGTATTTTATAGCTAATAACTTGGTAGCACATAATTTAAACTATGATGTTTCTACAATATCTATAAATCCCTCTGCACTTGAATGATGGTAGATAGTATACATTCATAATTCACCATCTAACACTTTTTCAAACTAAAACTCATTGAATAATACTTTCGAATTTGTGTTTATCGTTTGTTGCGAAGTCTATACATCTATTTTACGAATATATACCACGTGTTTTAGATCTTACAAACTGATTTAACTGAATATGCAGTTGACGGTTTATGGATATATTTCTTTGCAAGCAAATTGTAACATCAAGATAAATTTATTACTTAGTTGTTATCTGAAGATTATTTATACATCAAAGAAACACACATTTAGTTTCACTCACAACTGCTTGGACTGAATACATCAAATAACATATTTCATTATAGTAGTTATCTTTCTGTGTTATCTGTACTATACACTTCTCAATCACTTATCAATATAAATAAATTTCAAAAATTAACGATGGAAACTATCAAGACTTTTATTACGCTCAAATAACTATATCCTTTAGAACACACAATTCAATTATCCATATTGACAAAGTTCTTACTGCTAAAAACTATATTTGTCTATTTTCTTTGTAGAGTGTCGAACAGACATAATATCTTGGACATATTACTTTAGTGATAAGATCCATATAAGTATTAACAGTAAATTTAAAATGTCTCTATGTGGAGATATAGGACAAATGAATAATTAATTTAACGACTGCAAGACAGTGAATTTACAACTTGGTAGATTAATTGAGTAATAGTCGAAAACTAGACACATTGATAAACGTGAATAGCAACACCGTTTAACAAGAGAAAAGTAGTTTTTTATATTAACAAGTTGAATTAATTTACTCACATAGTATTATTATTATCATCATTTTTAATTTGTTTACTAGATGTAGCATAAACTTGCATTGAAATGTTCATCAAATGTATCACTTATATACACATTTCACAACCTCACTAATTCAACGTGTCACCATTACTGCTACAACTCGCACTACTACTACTACTAATAATAATAATGTAAATAATAATGATAAAAATATCACGGCTACAACTAATAATATTATTTATTATCAAGATACAGTTCTAACTATTATGCACACAAAGACATGAAATGAATCAAGTAGTTTCTGTTGTTTTTTTTTGTTTCTTTATAAAAGGGGGAGATAAATATATTAACATTAATAATTTGTAAATGAGAAAAAGAATAATGATTATGAAAGGTGAAATAAACTGTTTAAAATAATAATAATAATAAATTTATAAATCTTGTTAACACCGTTTATTACATAATTATTGTTAGTAGAATGATGATTTTCAAATGAAAATATTAACATTTGGTATGATGTATGAATGTTTATATGTATGCTGAATAAGCATATAAAGTATAGAATGATAACATCGTGAAATGATATAGAAAGATGAGTATTTCAGAACAACAGTATAAAATGAAATATAAACATAGAATGGAGTAGGTATGCATGGAATGAACAATAGATTATCTATTATATTCAAAACAAAAACACATTATCACAGTTTTTTTTTACCAGTGTTTAGTTATACCTCCATACAATAAAACGACTATTTATTTAAGAATAAAAAAGTGACAAAACACTTCAGTTTAGTTAGTTCAAGGTATAAGTTTTACTTATTAAACAAATTTAGTTGTGAAGATAGAAGGGAATAAATGAGAATTACTTCGTTAATTAATAGTTTCTTTGATGCCAATGATTTTTTCATTCATAAATTAGTTTGAATTCTGGTGGTGGTCTTGGATAATTTAATTTAGATGTTGATGGACATTGTTGTTGTGTATCTTGTCGAATATCGTTTGCTTTGTTCATTTCTGGTGTTTCGTGAAAGATAACATTTGAATTTCTAGTATCCGGTGACTTATCCTCATCGTGATTGTTGTAATACATGTTTGCATTTGTCAATGCTTGCAGTAAAGGAGTATAGTATTTTCTATTTGATGTAAAAGATTGACTATCACGTTCAAATGAGTCAGTTCTACCAGAAGATAAAGAACAGGAGAATGAATAATTTTGAATGACTTCATCGACTAATATATCCATTCTTTCAGCTGTCCGGGTAACTTTTTTATACGAAAGATGAAAACAGAAAATAGTAACATAATTATATAAAATCAAAATCTTATTCAAAAAGTCATGTTGATTTCCTAAAGTTACAGTTTAAAGAACTGTTGTCAAATTATTTCGGTTAAAAGATATCCTTAATCTGGTTATATTTTAAATGTTGAAATTCAGGTTGTTTTATAAACGCAACTAAACACTAATGATGATTTGCTATTAGGCTACTAGTCAGTATGTCAACAATGACGTATCACAGTAAACTATCCAGTTAATAGTTTTTAGATGGATCTATCCACTCTACTACGTGTTTATGTACATCAAATAAAACATTTGCAAGGTAGCACGGAAATGAATAAAGCCAGTGACTGTTATATCTATTATCTTCATTTGAAAATATAATCATAAAGTAATCACACATTGCGAAAGGTTTCATATAGCAGCAATGAAATTAAATTATTTCAACAAAAATAGTCATATATGTTGTATTTTGTAGCAGGTCATTAGTGAACGAAATAGTCATTAACCTGAACAAGTGAACGAAATTCAGTTTCGTCCAACACTTTTTTCGCTTTACATTTTCTTCTTAAAAGATCGTTCTCCTCGGTTTTAGTGAATGTTTAAAAACATGCGTTAGTGTAAGTTATTTATAAATCGATAGTATGATGCTCTTATACGAATATCTTTCGGTTAAAATACAGATGATTACTGCTTTTTCACATTTTTATACCGTCTCTAAACTTTATATCTCAATATTCACAACCTTTAACAACAACTGATTAAACCAAGTTAAATAAATTTTTAAAACATTAGTTAATTCTTATAGAAATTTTAAAATAGAACATTTTATGAAATGATTTTAAAAAAACAAATAAGTTCATTTTTCAGCAATACTGAACGTACCATGTGTTGTTTCATAGAATACTAAAGCTTGTTTAAACACTGATCCCGAAATATTTGGAAAAAGTTTTACGGTAGATTGTGTCAATGCTATCGATCCAGCTTGACTTGATGATGTCGATGATAAGTCTACCTTATTCAATTGATTATCAGACATATAAAAGTGTTGCTGATTCGCTAATTCATAACGTAAATTTTCTGATGGTAAATTATTTTTTAGAGCTTTTGTAATCAATTCTTTTATTTTTACTATAACTGAAGCCAATTCATCTGAGAAACAAACAGAATAAAACACATTTTTGATATCAGCATTGGTTCAATATTGAGTCCGGTAAAATGTTTGCGATGTCAGACAAAATATTTATTACTTTGATTGTAAATGACAATTAGGGATTAAGATTAAAGTGTAGATTTTAAGCTGCTATATAGTTCGTAAAAAACCTATTCATTACAATTTTGTTTGGGAGTCTGATAAATAAACATCTAACTTTTTGACCTAAATTATTAATTTTTGACTGCCATATTCCACATCACAAATTTGTGAAAGAAAACACATAGATTTAATACTGACCCTCCAGTTGTTGAATATTTTCACTTCTATTCCATTATTTTATGTCTATTTACTGAGTTTTTGCCGTCTAAATTTGAGTCATATATTGTATTTGTTATCCAGTGCCGCTGCAAAGTAAGCATTTTAAAGACAGTAGGCCCTATCTTGACATTCACATGTCTTTTAATAGTTCAGTTCATGTGTCGATCTAAGCTGGAACACTGTTGAAAACCTGGAAGTATTAGGCGGCCACTTCGTCTTAGTATGCGACTTCTCAACAGTGTGCACCCACAACCTTGCATGTGGGACTAAAACCCAGGACCTCCAGTCTCTCGCGCAGACGCTTAGCCTCCAGACCACTGAACCGGCATTCAGCGGTGTCAATGTCTAACTTCAGTCGATCCATATATCTGATTTTAAAGAAATCGATAATAAGTAATCTAGGTAAGCATCGTTTGGCACCTACGGTGTTAAGAGTACTCAGATATTTATTTATTTAGTAGACAATTATAACTGTTTAATTTTCACGATTGTAGCGTATACATTAAAGGAGAACAGCTAGCTAATTAAATCAGTAGGATTGTTTTTCAGGAAACGAATACAAATTTAAGTTTGGCATTAAATTGATAATATGTTTACTTCTCACGGAAATGTGACAGAAACAGTCATGGCTAGCATTTTCGCACAACAAAAATAGCCCTTTTAGATTACCCATTCTATCTCTAATAAAAAATGTAAACAGATGATTAATTTTTAGTAAACGCTTTTATCAAAATATACTTACAAATTAAATATTATTCTATTTAAATATCAGACAACAAATATAAATACATTCTTGCCAATTTTTAAAATCTCACTTCAAGGGGTAGCCCTGTATATAACGAAAATATTTAGAATTCCCACTTTTCAGTATCAGTTTCATTTATCAGTTTATTGGATAGTCATCTTTTATCATTACGACAGCCAAATTTGTAGATAAAGCGTTATAATGTTTAAGATTATTGAGACAAAAAGTCGCTCATTAAATAAATGATTGAACCAGAACGACTGGTCAACTGATGGATAATGAAGATCGATATTTAGGTATCAGAACTATAACTTACATACATAATACTTTACTAAAGTGTTATAACGAGGCTATTCATCAGATAACAAACGATTATTCAAATATAAAAATGAAGGTTATCGAGTAGCCGTCAATCTTTCACATGTACATAAATAATACAACTGTTGCCAGTTACATAATAAAAAACACAAGTATTTTCATTATTCGTCTAAGTTTTAATTATATATATATTAGAAATGGATAATTATTCAGTACCATTAAACTACAATACGTTTGCTAGTTCACTAATAAAAACCACTAATTGAAAACATTTTTGTAGACCTTCCCACATTTAGTTTACAACTGATATTCTGTGATTTTACATAGCTTATATAATGACTAAATTTCCAAATAGCTGAACAATGGAATAATTCATGTTCATGGTAATATAAGTTTTGTTAGCAAATAAAACTGCTTCATTTTAAGCCTTGTGTTTACTTAGCGGGATATTTAATTTATGGCACCTTCATTACATTAATATCTTTAAATAATAATATGTTGAGTAAATAGTATCCAAAAATAAGGTTCAAGTAGTTACGATACGTTGATATTAAGTAACAATAATTCAATGAACCAAGCGAGCAACAAACAGAAAAAGCCTAATAGCTATGTTATTGATTGGTAAAAACTTACAGTTATACAGAAGTATCAATAAAATACGACAAAAATTCCCATAATAATTCTATTAAAATAACATACAAAAGCGATCACTATTATTTTCGATCGGATCTTCGTCAGACATTACTCTGATATATAATTATATTTATGCTCATGCATGAAAAGCATTAAACCAATCAAGGCAACGTATTAGTCGTTGACAACAATAAAATAGACTGCATAGCTGGACATAACAAGCGCAAACCACAAACTGATATTAAAATGTGCTGTTATTTGTATAACTATTAGCAATAATTGTTTGATTGTCATCTAAATGAGACGGAATATGTGAAACTCAAAGATATTTAGGAGATTTGACTGATACGTAGTAAGATTATGTTTTTCATTCAACGATTAAGATCTCGAAATATTTTGCTGAATAATTATACTACTTGTCATAATTAAGTAGTAAAATGTGAAATTCAAAAATATATCACTAGTTTGCTTGTCCATGGTCGTTTGAAAATAAAACAGTTATCAGGATTTAAAAATGTAGGAGCTGGACAGTCATTCAGATCCGTAAACGTATTCTTCAGGGAAAATAATGAAGTATGTTTACTTTTAACTCGTTTAAAGTTGTGAACTAAACCTGATATATTCTGTCAAGAAAGCCACGAATTATGACAGAAGGTGATCACTATATAATATATCTAAATTATTCATAATCGTCTAGTCCGTTTGTAGACAAAAAACAGTACGAATAGGATTTTACACTGTAAACGCTTAACATCACCTCTCTCTGTAACGCTTATATTTTAAAAGTATAAATTAAGCTCCCTTGAATTTGTATTAAAATATTCGCACTTCTTCAAAAATTTAGATTATGATCTTTTTATCACTTTTTGACTTAGGACTTAATTAGCAACACTAGATCAGATCTTGTTCCATATGACTAAATATACGTTTGCAACTGGATTCTCCCTGAAACCGAGGACATTTTTCTAAACTGGATTATTTACATACACACATAATAAAATGTAATCATTTTTGGCCAAAGTTTCTTTGATGTCACTAAGCAATATTTCTGAAATGATGAATATCCAGCTTTCGATGCAATCCACGTTGAAAAATAATTAAACAGTAGTTAGAATCCACCTGAATACTCCAGTGGTAATACAACTGAATATCTTAGCAATGTGTATTTTCATCTACTGAAATATTCTCTCAGTGCGATCAGCATCTGCTTTACTGTTTACCAATATTATGTTGGTATTAGAGCCCTTGAAATTGAGATTTCCCTATAGCAAATGATTTAAAACGTTCATGACTATGAGTACTATAAAACGCCTGGTTAACAATTAAATTCTAGTCACCACTTTTGTTTTAATTACGGTATTCATAGCAGTTCTTCACGTATTCGGTGATAATAGATTATGTCTTTATTTATTCATTTGCAGCTTAGATACAACATGGTTTAGTCATGTGTGGTATTCAGGCTTGTTTGATAAAAACGATATTTAATAATAGTCAGGTTTTCAGTTTAAAAGAACAAACTATTGTTTTATGAATATCTCATGCCATCGAAAGTGAATTAAATTATAGTGAGTTGAAATATCTTGTTTGAATGATATGAACCCATAGATTTACCACTGAGTTGAATAAGTCGGGATGAATGTATAATTGTTTTCATTTTTTGCTTTCCGATGAAGATCGTACAACAGTCTAGTTGTAAATATGTAACAATTAAAATGTTGTACTCTCAGTACAGAACTCATTCTCTTGCTTAGACAAGTTAAAACCATGAACTAACTATCATAAATGTAAGGCATCATATTACGTGTCTTGAAAAACCAAGTCAATATTATAATATCAAAAAATATCATGATATAAAAAATTCATCGAACAATAATTATAGTTAGCAAGCCTGTACTTTAAATTCAGAATTTCATTAGCTTAGTTTGCTCAGGTGGTAATTCAATAAACATATACCTATATACAAACAGTGAAAACGCCAAAATTTTTAAATAAACAAAGGTTTTAATTTCACTTCACTAAAAATACAATGAAGAAACAGCAGCACAACACAAAACATCCTCCTTGGTTTTGAAAATATACAACAGATGAATATATATATATATATATATATATATATATATATATATATATATATATATATATATATATATATATATATATATATATATATAATCAATAAATACGATAGCCAGTATTGGACTCAAGATTTATGTTCAAGAGAAAAAAACCTAGATTGTCCAATATTAGTAACAAATGTATATGTATTACAAATATTTGGTTGGCTCATGTTGTCTTATAAATATCTAATACAAAAATACAAGTGTTTCCGTTTTAGCACTATCACTTTTGTTCCAATTATTGTTTTGATTTGTTGTTTATGTTTAGTTTCAATATAAAATTGAAATGAAGAAGTGGTTATTTTGATTAATCGACCGTTTATTTATTCATTTAATCATTATATTATTTTCAAGGAGTATTTTAAGCGTCAGCATATAATGCAAAATTGTTTTGGTTACCTTATTGATATCACTTTGTCCACATATATTTGTTTTATATTCATTCTTGTGTAAACTTGTGTGGTTTGCTGGTGACACACAAGTTAACTCATTAACTATCTAAACATTTTTTGATTAACCTTATTATATAATACGCCTAATTTAAAAAAGATTAATCAATTATCGTAAAGTATGAAGAACATTGTGTTGCTATTGCTTCTACTGCTTCAATTGTTGCGATTTTATCAAGACGCTTTTGTAAATAAACCTAGATGGTGGTATAACTAACATTATTTAGTGATTTACGAGTTGTGAAAATTGTATGATCAGCACAAAATCTAGTAGCAATAATAATCATTACCTCACAAGTAAGTACGTTAAAGATGCACCTCCTACAGTTCTAGTGAGAAGCCGTTATGTATGGAATTCAACCTCAGGTAATGTAGGAGGATTGCATAATACTACTAAACGATCGTAGTTGGGTGTTAAGACTACTAAATATCGGTCAATAATCGGTTCGGTTAGCGTTCAGTGATGAGGCCGAAGGTTATGGGTTCGATTCCTTATGGTGGGGTCTTTTCGAGTATTGATTAGGGGCCTCATATTAGGACGAAACAGCTGTCTAGTACTTTCGAATTTCCAACACTGGTCTAAGCAATATCATTTCGGGATTTAAAAACTAAGAAAATTCGATAATATCCACTATTGTGGATTTTACATAAGTTGTGTAAGCAAGTAACTTAGAATGTTGGTGCTATATTTGATTCACATTAGAAAAGAGCACAATCTTTTCCAGTTTCCAAAAACGTTTATTTTATTGTTGTTATTTCGAAAGATGTTTAAATTATTAGTCACAGAAAATACTAGTAAACTGTTAAATAGAACATTATTTATCGTCTCAGTACATATACTTTGAATAGTGAATTAATTTGACGCTAAAATATAATCAACAATTAATTTCATATAAGAGACAAAATTGTAACATGAAAGTCTTTAATAGTCTTACTTATTATAGTCATTTTGACTGCTTCAAAGTTTCATGTTTACAATTTTGTTCAAACTTTACTATATATTTCGTTACATTTTTAGGAGATATATCTAATCTTAGGGTAAAACAATTTTTTCATGGAAAAAGCTACGAATTTGTTTTAATCAGTACGTATCAGTAAACATTTTGATCTACGTAAAAGTATATTTGTGGTGATGGTATCAAAATAAAATACCAGAAAATCATGTGCAAATTAACAATAAAATTAATTTTTTTTAAGTGAATTAAGAAATGCTCTTGTAAATGAGTTAAGCAGTCGATCGGATTATAGTATACACTTCAAAATATAGAGAAAAGATTCTCTCTTTTTAAATACTGTCTTTAGATATCTCAAAATATAAGTAATCCGAAATCGCCATTAGTTCCTATGTATACTTAATCAATATAATGTTTCTCAATGGATGTATTGATGTTAATTTGCTATTTACTCAACTGTAATAAAAATAGAATCTTGCAAATGAAATTTAAAAACTACTCAGCTTATAAGATGCATCGATAATGGGTTTAGGTAAACCATGAGAGTCTTCCAAGTTATGATAGTTGATTTCAAATGTACTTTTCAGTGGCTTAATCAGTTATTTATTTCCTATCACTTCGCCTGTAAGTCTTTAAGTAGCTTAAATAACTTAAACTCAAGAACATCAACCAGCTGTATTATGTTTTGAAAGAACTCATATTCATTTCATCACAAAGTGAGGTTATCAAATGAATCCGAAAATAAATTTGTCATCAACAAATGAATTTTTATAGTGCAACTTATAAATGCCCAAACATTATAATTGTTTAAATTCTCTTCTACATAACAGTTGTAAATTAAAAATTAACTAATTAAGTATTACATTTTATCCCTCAACTATCTGTAACATGTTCACCCCTTAAGTAATATATGCTCAAATACTAAACGGGAATATTTACAAACAATTCTCAAAGTAAGGATCGACTAGTAGATTTAAGGTTAAGTACCAGTTCAACTGCTGTCGTGGCAATAGTTAAAGTGTACATTATATCAACAACGTTTAACAGTGGATTTCTGAACATCTGTCATGATTATTTGAGAGGCTTATTACATAAGTTAGGAGATCCGAATGTGCGTATATTTTCACTTATACTAACTGATCTTTTGGAAACAACTCCCATTCACTGTCGTGGTTCATAAACAACGATATGCAACATAGAAAGGTATTTAAACCTTCATGGTTCTGTCTTGTAAGTGTTACATCGGTTTTATCTCAAATTTTTTTGTGTTACAAGTGAGCACAGATGAGAAACTCTATATTCAGATTAAACATTTGCTCTATGTTCCTTGATTTACAACAATACCTCAATTGCTCTCAATCTTTGACAAAATGCATCTACCAATATTTAGTTGTCTAAATTTCGTTTTTTTTTGTATTTGTTTTGTGTTAATATAATTCTTAATTCAGTATTCTAATAAATTCCAAGATTTGTTGTTAACTTGATAAAAAAGATTGCACTTGTTTGTTAAAAAATCATCTCGTACAGTGACTTCAAACCTGTTTATCAACAGTAAAGTAAAATGAAATGAAGTTTAAAAGTCATGATTTAGTACAATTGCATTATTAAATCAATAAAACTTCAAAAATGATTGTCTACAGTAAATTTCTTTTTACCTACTGACGATAGCTGCAAATCCATTTTCTAAACAGTTAAGGTTGTCAATATCTATTAGATGATAAAAAGCAACATTTTTATTGTGACCGAATTTAATTTTATTCAGTGGAAGAAAGAAATATAAAATAAAGAATATTAATTAGGTTAGTATTCAACTTACTGTACTCAATCTCCAATCCAAGATATTTAATTTTATTGGCTTCGTGAAACGCTTTCTTTTTAAGACGACAAATTCTGAAAAGAAATACATACACTTAAAAATCCAATTTACGGAACGCTTTATGAACCTTTTGTAAATTGTGATTTTAAAAATAAGTGGTATCAAATAAATAATCTCCAATCACAAAAATTTATATTTTTCATGACTTATATGAATATATTTTACTACAGATAGCTCAAGACATTTTATACTATGCAGTTTTACCCGTTCCAAACAGTTTTTGAATAGTTTACTTTTATTATTAGAATAAACCATCTCTGAAAAGTTTTTAAGCTGCAGTCCAATTTATTCAAGATTTAATTCAGAAAATATCCATTCATGAATTCGATTTTCTTATAAAGGAAAAGTACAAATTCATACGTTACGTTATAGCCTAATACTCCTATTACATCTATAATTGAATTGTCATTCATAGCTTTGATTCTTTTAGGACATTTAAATACATTTCCCATAAGAGAAAGCTTATTCGAACTTGGTGTTTTCTATGTCACATTATTTGTTTGTTGTAAACCTAAGAAATCTGTACTTATGAATAGACGTAATTAAATAGTTAAAGTATCAAACGATATGTTAAATTAGTGTTGTGTACTAAAAGTTGATTTTTCAGTAGTGTATTAAAAATTTATGTTTCAAATGAAATAAGAGATTACCTTAAATAATGAAATTTTTGGTTAAATATGAGTTTTTTATCACGTTTGAGGATATACTACTTACTAATTACTGAGTACTGACCAATGTCATGCATGTCTAATCCTTTTCGCAGATCAAGTTCTATTGATCATGCTGTAATGTTCTGTAGGATTGAGATATTCATAACTTTATCAATAAAATTCATTTGGAACTAAAAAATACAAGGCAAACGTAACAGTGGTCACTAATCATTAATCAATCACTTGCAAATGTCTCAGTGCTGCAAGAGGCTAGTCGTGGCCCAAATAGAATTATTGTGATATCTCTGACGGTGGAACTGAACGATACTAAGTCAAATTTATCAGGGAGCATCAGTTCCATCAAGTCTTTACTAATATCATGCTGAACAGTTTAAAATAGCACGAAACCTGGGTCTAGAGTTCTGAGTCGTCCATTTACAACGCACAATAGCTCAATACGTTTAAGGGTAATCTTGGGAGGAGTAAGAGCTTGAAATCTCTTGCGATCCGTTTAGTAAGAATATTATTCTTTCATAAAGAAAAATGATAACCACCCATTTATTTAAAAAAAAATATTTATGCACATACAGGTAGTATGTGGTGTAAATGAGTATTTCATAGATTCGTCTACAGTAGAAATGGCTTATTACGAAAAAATTAAATATAACTATTGGAAAATTTTAAATTACCATCTCGTGGTTTGATTATATCTAATCCCACTGATATATGATAAAGATTATTGTTTTTACTTTTTAGGTTATTTATTTAAATTAAACAAAAGTTTGTCATTTTTATTCATAATAATTTGTTGAATGCCAATACATTGAAACGGTTATTAGTAATTTATATTTTGTCATGATGATAATTTTCAATCATAAAGGTGATGATAAGAAGTCCAAATGAATACTTCTGATAGAACCATCTATCTCACAGAATACAAGACTACCAGAATTTAACTAACTTATCAACATTTCACGATGTCTATAGCTTTAATTTAATGAAATGATAAAAGTATAACATAAGTACATCGCTTTTGAAAAATGTTGATGTGAAGAAATTTATGTACATGTATATTTATACTGTCGAATTCTGTATTTCGTTGATATGAGCCTGGCTACACTTTTTGTGAAAAAAGACAACAGTTAGTAGCCTTCAACTTATCAAAACCTTTATAAACAACTTTGGTATTATCCATTTTTGTCAATGAAAATATGATAAATTTTGTTTGTTAATGATGTCGTTAACGCCTCAACTTAATACTTACTTAATGCTTACTTAACCCACTTCATGTGTACTGCACACCCTGATAATTCTATGAAAAATCAACAGTCATCAGAAAAATTGCCGTATTATTAGATTCTTTCCCTTTATTCTTTGAGTTCGTCAAAAAATGTGGCCTATAGTAGTGAGAATATTCAGATATGATGTACTTTGTTGTAAATGAAGGCAGAAATGCTTCTTGTAAATAGTGGATAACTGAGTGATTGCAATGTAGCATAAACTTCACATCCGAAAGCCAGCAGTAGAAATCTTAACATGAACTCTAGTGATTTCCAGTTAACTCTGACAATTATTACTTGACTGAAATTGAACCATCAGTGACTTTCTTGGTTTTCAACCAATTACTGCCTCTGTCGTTTACAACCCTCTCGTAGTTTTTGTGAAAGCAAAGCTAATAATTTCTAAGCATTATTGACATTTTGAACCATAGTGAAGTATTTTATGAAGCACATTGCAAAGTAGTAAGCGTGACTACATCAACTAATAACATTGTAATACTGATTACTCTATTGCAACTGACCATTTCATAATCCTCTGTCAACCAAAAGTTATCGTTATAATAAAGAAATATGTCATGTGGCCGAATAAATATACAAACTGTGACCAGCAAATAACTGTTTGAAATCTAATGAATAAATTGATACTTAGAGACAACACAAATCAGCAAAAAAAGTAAATCTTTCTTATTAAATGTTTTAATTAAAATAAATAAATTTTATAATGAAACAGTATTGTTACATATTTTTCAGTCAACCAATAAATTCACCGTTATACTCCATATGACTACGTGTTATAAGGCAATAGGAACTATTATATAAATTGAAGAAAACACAATTAGCGTGAATGTGATCGAATCTCGACAAATTACGTAATAGAATCTCCGAAGAGATTAGCATTAATTATTTTCCTGATGAATATCTCAATACTCGTTTCTTTCACACAAAGTCCTAATTAGACTACTCTAAGATTAGTGCCATTATATTGTTCTTTCATCATTGAGTTTATTTGTAAACGAACAGTTCATCAACGTGCATACAAATATATATATATATATATATATATATATATATATATATACATATATATATATATATACCTACTAAGGGAACTCTAACAAAATGATACTAAATTACATGAATGGTGAAAGGAGTAAAACAATGAATATATTCCAGTCAAAAGATTATTATCGAATTCGTGAGTCATGATTTCAATGAATAAATGTAGATAAAGACAAATAAGATGGTCATTGAATTATCAATAGAAAAATGAATACAAAATTCTTTGTAATAATAATAATCAAATAAGACAATAATTTACAATGACCAAATTGTCAACGTGATAGTTTCCGTGATATCATTTATGGCTTAAAAAGATAATCGCTAAAAAATTTCCCATGATATTGTTTTTTATAAAATCCTTTCGAATAAACTATTGAAGACCTTATTGATGAAAACAATGCATACTTAATACTATTAGTCAGATTGATCAGACAAATTCAGTATAAAGTAATTAACCGATAAAAACTTATTTTGTAGAATTTTATATTGAAATACTTAGTGGGAGTCGCTTTTCAACAAGTAACTTCCACACTTGTATAAGACTCAAAGCTTTCAATTATAACATGAGAATAACATTAAAATCCAGATGACAAATTCATGCTAAAAACTATGAAGAATATAACAAATAATTATGTATAAAGAAAGGGAACCTAACAATTAAGAAATCAAGAATTGATTGAAAAGGAGATATTTTGAGTTTGAATAAGGAAACTAGCTTAAATTATTATCTGGTGCCCATCCACCAAAGTTTGGAAAAATAGCTAAATGATGCTGAAATACCTTCTCACTTGTAATCTGGAAATAATTAATTTATAGTTCACAGGAATATATTACACATTAGTTGCGTATATTAGTTTCTGTGAATTACTACTATATAAAACATAGATTATGGTACATGTTGTGTATACTGACAAAGGATATATATATATATATATATATATATATATATATCAGTGTCAAGGTTGGACTTGATAGTTTTGAATAAACTGAGCATCTGGTAGAAAGTTAATAATAAATATATTTTTTGTAATATCGCAATGAGTAGAAAATTGTATTTCCAACTTTTCGTGACCTAATGTAAGCCACTTCTTCAAGTTAATAAATAACCGAAATAAATTAACACAATCATTATATGCAAATATGGTTAGTGGCAAGCAATGTAATCAGAACGCGCGTTTCCTTCTATTAGGAACTCGTCAGATGGACGTACCTGTATCCCAGAGTTGATGTTCACACCGAAACTCGAGCCCAGTACCGTCCACTTCAATCATCATCGCGTTATCCACCTAGCTACTGAGTCCTGATGGTCACTTACTTGTTCAATAGAGTGAAATTATAATTCATTTTGTATTGTTTATTTGAATCTTCTCATTGATGTTTGAAGCGAATGGTACTGAGTTTGAGTCCTGAAGTGAACATCAACTCTGGGATGCAGGTACATCCAGCTGACGAGTTTTAACTAGGACGAAACGGAACGCGTACTGGATATCACTGCTGTCTCCTCAGAAAAAGTGTGCATGTTTCTGTTCAAATTAAATATTGACAATGTCAATATCTGAAATAACTCTGATTTTCAAATATTTTAGGTTGTAAGCAGCTGATGAGAACCTGATGAAACAAAATGAATTCACCTTATTCTGCACTAATCTTTGTTCTAGCTCAACTTGATGTATTGATAAATTATATAAGACTGTTTTTTCTATATATTATATCCGTTAAAAGGTGATTTTCACAATATATGTAATATTCTGCGTACTAAATACATATGTATCAAACCATACAATATTATATTGAAAGCATTCACCTGAACAACATATATTTATTTTAATATTACATTAAAAACTATCAAGTTGAAATTTAGTTATGATCTTATGATTCATAGTATGCATGTAATCATTAAATTTTCATTTACAGAGATGACACTAGAAATTAACATATTTCATATTCACATGTCATTGATCTGATTTATTACGTAAAATGATGAATACTCTTTGATAATTTCAGGCAGACATAAGTAGCATATAACACATATAGGAAGTGGAAAACCTGGTATCAGAAGGTCAAGAAGATCGAGTTGGGGAGAATGAAAGCGAAAATATAAAGAAGTTATGAACTTGAAGAATCAAACAGAATGTGAAGGACAGCTGATGGATATATGCAAACAAAGTATACAGTGTATGGTTCTTGTATTTTATCGAGATACTCTGGTTGTCCCCACTTGTGTTCTTGTCACAACAGTTCTACAAGCACCTTAAAGAATTGAAGATTTTTCGGACACATCTAAACAATAACTATAATTATTTTACAGTCTTTGATTAAAAACAGATTTTGAATATGATTTCTGTTTCAACGATTTTAACCACAATGCTTTAGTTTCTATACCATAAAATTATCTACTCTAGTCACAATTCTTAAAGATTGTAAGGATAGTTCACTGATCTGTTGAATTAACTATTTCTATACGTAATTGTGAACATAGGAAACGTCCAATGAAAGACATTTAAGAATAGATAATCAACACTTAGCCACTGGTAACGTAATTTCCAACGATTCTTTAAGTTATCAAAGGATACAATTTTTATTACATAAAGCACTTCACTGATTACGTAATCCCTATATTGAAAATAGCTTTACTAAGTAAGAGCAGACATCAAATATATACGAGTTACTTCTGAGTCTATCCCCAAAACTATTCATTTGATTACCTTTACGTTAAAATGATTTTTTACGTTTTTGACCAACCATATCTACAACAAAACAGGAATGTTACTAGTATAGGAGTTTCATAAAGGTTCCGGGATTTTCTTTTCTACACCACAGACTCTTGTATACGGTTCTAACGGTAGTTAGATTATCTAAATCATCCAACCAATTTTGACCGAAAACGCTGATTTCATCTCTATAACATTCTCACTAATCAAGACATCAGCGTAGAATAAAATACCAGAATTCCTAAATACTAATGGAAAGTACGGTCTGCAATGATGTTCGAATCTATCGAAAATGCAATGACGTTGAAAAACTGTAAAAGTAAACATCTCGTGATGTACATTAATGTCAATAAATTACTGATTGTAGTCATGAATTACTAAGAAACAAGTCAACTTCCAAGACATGACCACAAATTACAAGGTTTAGGTTCACTATCACAGTCAAAAGGTTAGTTATTCATCTTCTCTGACATATTCACCATCTTATTATCATATCTTTAATTTTTCATTTTACAATAAATATTGTTCTCATTTATTTCGACGTGACTTATTAATTTTGAATCTTTTTAGCAGCGAAATTAATACATTTTGACAGGAAGTTCTATGTTTCTGAGCCATTTTACCTATGAGCAAGTTGGTTGAAGTAAATGCATTAAAAATCTCATCAGATAGGAGGTTTGTGAAGATTGCTAGTTTTTATAATGCATATCAAGGACTGATTTTAGTCAAACAACTGTTGAAAATCAGGAAGGAATGGATATATAATTCATCGTAGTATGGAATTTTCAACAATGTCCATCTATGATCCAACCGGGAATCGAACTAAAAACCTCCACGTCTTTCAGTGTGAACTTAACCTTTAGACCACTGAGCAGACATCAAATGATCTACATACCTAACAAAGATCAGTTGATGTTAACTCCAAACCTTAACGTTCCCCACAAACCTTTTATATAATGATAAGAATCGTGTACTCATATCGACTAGTTTCATGAGGTAATTAAGGTAGTTCTAGTGAATAGCCATGGCTAGTGGAGTTCAACCACGTAAAGTATGAAGTAATTCGTCACCGTGGACACTGGATGGTGGCTGCGTAATGTCTCAAATCGATTGAGGTTAAATGTACAAACCATTGGATGCTAAAGTTTGAGTGCTCACTGAAAGACTTGACGGGTTTTAGTTTGATCCCCAATGGGAACAAACTTGACATAACTAAAAATATCCAACCAAACGATAAAATATATGTCTTGTGCTTCCTGATGATCGTAAAACCATGGTCAATCCGTGATGTGAATAATCGAAAAACATATTTTCTTTGAACTATTTATATTTTCTTTTGATCTGTGTTTTCAATGAGTATAATAACAGGGAATGTTTTCATGTCGACCTGCAGTAAATAGACAACTTATTAATCATGATGTCTATAGCTAAATGATAAAAAGTGGACGCCTGTTACTTCACTCAAAGCAATGAATGTGTTTGATTTAAAATATTTAACTCCTGAAATCTAGTATAATAAAACTTACTTGCTAGCCAACTTGTTTTTTTCGCGTTTCGCCTGTTCAACTATTTTGGAATTGAAGATACTCCCAGAAAGATCCTGAATCACCTTAAAATCCAAATTAATATCTGGCTGATCAAGCACCGAACTTGCACCTGTAGCAATCAACTCACCTTGAGCTGTGATATTTCTATTTAAATGAGCAAGTTCTTCTCCCATAGAACGCAAACGCATTAAATTTGGAGTCACATCATTACCGTCACCTCGACGCAATTTCGAGCAATGAACTAAATCATATCTTCTTTGAACAGGATCTTCAAAAACGACAAATGGATATCCTGGCAAGGATAATGGGGATATAGGATAATGTATTATTGGATTAATAACACGAGAAGAAGCACTAGAAGACACGAAATCATCTTGATAGACACTTGAAGTACAATTTTCTGTCAAACTTGATTGATCATCTTCAGCTGAATTATTCAAAATCATTGTGTTTGTCAAGCTTATTAATGGAGACGCCTTTGGACCTTTGCACTGGGAGTTATATAGCCAAAAGTATGCACCACTCGACAAGTTGAAAGCGTTAGGAATGGGTACCTCTGAACCGGTATCTTCTAAATGAGGTTTCAAAGAGAAAATATATCAGTAGGCATGTGGCTGATTTAAAATATAACGTAATTTCATGTATAATATGATTATCGATTTTAATCTCCCGAAATCTTTCCTAAGGGCTGATAAAACATCCAGTAAAGCTACAAGCTTTATGTGATAAGACACCACGAAAGTCACCTAACGATCAATTAAATAATTAACAAGAACTAAATAGATAACGTGTTTATGAAAACGATGATAAAAAGCCTCATTACTTAGTGTTCATAAAATTAATCAGCTATTGTAATGTCAATGAAGGATAATTTACCAAGTACAAAAATGCACACAAGGCTTCGAGCTAGATCTTTTTTACATAATATTTGTTTCTAGTACCTGACGACACAAATCAAAGTAGGTAGAGTGATATCTCAAAACACAAATAAGTAACTCGTTTACTAATTCGAGGTTAATATACTAGACCTTTGAGCTACACACAATTTTATTTAAACTGGAGATACTTCGAAAATTAAAATAAAAATGCAATGTTTAAATCTGCAACTAATTGACTTAAGTCCAAGGTACTACCTATAAAAGTATTTATGAATATTTTATAGGTAATATCAAGGCTAGATAACATAGAACTCTGTGATAACCCTTACTATCATTGACAATTAACAGCGGAAACTAATGAATACTGGTATAGCCTCTTCATTAAAAAGTAAAAGCAACGAAAACAATGTTCAATTGCAAATAGAATAATATTTTAACATTCAGTTTTGATCAAATGATTTTTATCTTTAGTTTATTTCATTTCACTCATTCTCTTAACATGTATTTACAAATTTGATGGTTTCATTTAGTAATCTTAGGTCAGTAAATTTAGAAAAATATTCAAACAAAAATAATTCAGTTTTTGTATGCATCATCAAGAGTATTATATTCCATAAGATTAATTTTTGTAGTTGTTTTGTCTGAACAGTAGAGTTTCAAGTAATTTTTTCAAAGAAAATTTTCATTTACTAGTTATATAACAAACTTTGATGAAAAAATATGTTTGCTAATTTAGCTCAATTTAGAAAAAAAGATGGAATTTTAACTATATTGAATTATTAATCCTTCATAAACTTATATATATATATATATATATATATATATATATATATATATATATATATATATATATATATATTAACGCAAGCGCTTGCTATTATCTGCTTTGTCATTTTTATTTCAATAGAACACAAAGTAACAACAAACAACGAAATGAAATTCTGTTAAACTGATTGACTTAGTATTAAATAGCATAGAAATTCCGCGGGCATAATCAAAGTAAATCTGATTTTTACTATCTTAAATTGTATTAACAGGTAAAAAAAAGAAAAATATCAGAATAAGAAGAAGAGGTGTAAATTATTTATAATTATAACACATCTCTTTTATAATTACACGCTTGACATATTTAAGATTATCATAAAGAGGGTAAATTTTTCAAACATATGAATTTTGTTGCATTGAACAAATAAATTAAAGTTGATCAATAGGAATTGTTGAAAATGAAAAATTTGTTGAAAAACTAACAAAACTAGTAATAACTTAACAAAGATTATATTGAAATATTTCATCATTTAGAATTTTAATTTAAGTTTAATATCTCTCAATGTGTTGAGTTTTAGATAACTATATATAATAAATAAGTGTTTGTCAGTTAGCCGTCAATAGATGCAAGAAATCAGATTTTATTATCAAGCTTTTCATGTTAAGAAAAAATCACTCTATCAATAAAATGGTGAGTTTACTGAAATGTGTATTTTACTAGTGAAAATTCTAACTATTATTATCTACTTCTTACTACCAAGTTGTTCATTAACCTTTGATATTATATGTAGTATTATATAAATACGTTGAGGAAAATAGTATTTCGTAATTTACAAATAGTCTTCTATTTACCTTAAATGAAATAAGTTTAAAGAAAGAAAATATTAATATACACTCAACGTTTCATAGTTTTCATATTCTTAATGGCTATAGTAAGTCAATGCATTTGAATCATTCTGTATATGATTTAAAAGTCACTTGCGGAAAAGAAACTTAAAGAAATGTTTAGTAATGTACCTCAAATTTACGTATATTTTCTCTTTCTCAGTAAAAAAGGATTTATTCATTACTGTCTCTAATTATACCGTTTTTTTTACATAAAACTAAAAAAAGGAACATTTATGTTGTATTTGAATAGTCTCCCTTTTCATAAACACTGTCTGAAAAGTGTAAGTGACGAAATATCATCTATATCAGTTAGTCAGCACAAATCATGTTTTAATGCAAATATATACTATTAAATAATTTACATTGAACATGTGAGCTCTTTCAAATTTTTGTTTAATATACATTGTTACAATGCTCAATAAATCCAAAAAAGGATTTTCTAAAATGTAATAGAAGTACCACTATATCTATTTGTATGTAAATAGATGTCAATGAAAATAGTATATCATGATATATGTATGTATAATAGATAGCTGTGCACATACTTTTCATATACAAAATATTAACAGAATTAATAAACTAAATTATTTTAATTTCATTGTGGGTAGTCTCATTGACAGATGACAAAATTACTAATTTACATCAATGGATAAAAGCAACAAGAAAAATAAACAATAAAATAGATACATTGAATTAATAGTACATTCATTACTGATTTGTTACTTATTTGAAAAAAAAAAGAAAAAAAAAGTAAAATTAATGAATTACAGTAATAATTTAAATTAAAGGGTTTTTTCTTAAATAAAAATAGAAAAAATTGAAGTTTTTTCCTTCTTTCTTAGCGAGAAAAAAAAAGATACTCAACCTGTTAAAAATTATTCATCAAGTCATTTTATATTCACTTTTTTTTGGAACGACTAATTGTAAAGCTGATCAATTACTTCATTACATTTATGTCTCATTCAATTAAGCATAAATGAAATAAACTCTATGTAATCTGAGTTTTTTTTAGTTGTATTTATGTAGAAACTATTTACAAACTTTTATGTAACCATTAACTGATCACTATGATTATCTCTAGTTAATTATTTTCCTTAGACTTGATTGATTCTATAGTCAGCATAGTGCAGTAAAATTTTGGTTATTAATAGTGTGTAAATTTTTATTCTGTGTTCCTAATAATAATATGAATGAAAGTATGGGAAAATAACATGAGAATATTTTTATGATCAAAAAAACTAATAATTCTTCCTTTTCATCATGATTTTGAGTTAATATTTAAATCAGTTTTCTTATTCTATAACGAGAATCAGAGCTTTCTTTGAACTTATGACAGATCTAAATGATCCAAAAAACGAGTTAAATGATTTTATGGTTGTATCAACAGAAACACTGCTTACAACTTTTAAATATTTTCTATTTTCAACTTAAAACAATAGTATACATGAATATCAATGAGATAAAGTTTAATTTTTGTGCTCAAATAAAATGTGCACAACTATTATACTTACCTAAGGTCTCACTTCTCATAATCCTAATATTTTCTGTATCATTTCATTAAATCTCCTTACACATTTATTATCTCAATAAAAATAAAAAAATAGTTAATTTAGTTGAAATATTCTACTCATCAATGTAATATTACAATTTCCCATTAATTTCAAATCTGTTCGCTTGCAGGCACCGTGATGATATTGTAAGATAGTAAGTAACCTTTCTTGTTGTACACCAGATTTTCTGACATATTAATCAAGTTATTATTATTATTGGACAGTGACTAATAGTTGATGTCACGACTCACGTTCTTACCTGTTTGGCAGTGGATTTACTTTAAGACTAGTATTTAAGTTTACATTGAGAAACAAGCCTCAGAATCAACTAGGGTATGTTACAAGCATTTCCAAATAATACTAAAATTCATTGTTCACATTTTGTAGTTAAGGATAATTGTTTGCTTTTCGTGCTTACTGTTAAAGATGAGGAAGATAAAAATGTATGTAATATCTCCGGCTTTGCTCGTAATCTCGTTGTATCATAGCATTATGACAATACAACTTATCTTCCTAAAATCTTTATTTTCAATAAATTGTTTTCTATGGTGATCAAGTTCATTGTAGTATTCAAAACAAACTTTGACATGCAAAGTAACTGTAAAACTGTTCAATGAAGAAATTCACAAACGAGCGCAATGAAATTAAGTCTGAAGGCAAGAATATCAAGCAACTACCTTTTAAAATAAGGTATCAAGTCAACTTAATGGACTGTCAAAATCCAGTAATTTTACTATCAATTACAATTTTTCACATAAAAAAATACATCATAAAAGTAGGACAATTTCAGGATAAACAACTTATTATAAGTGTCAAATAAAAAAGACGATAATTTTTTGTATTTTTATGCTATAAAAAAAGACCATGAATTGATGCATCTCTACTTCAGTTTGAGTAACATTCAAAATTCTGGATAAACTTTCAATTTTCCTTTCGTACACAATTCAGTTAATTCAAATATCTTCCCTACTTTAAAGGAGTCTCATATGAGAGTAAATGTTCACCTTTTGACACTTTCACTGGGAACATACCTTTCTTTTTTAGCAATGACTGCCATATTTCGGTTGATAGTAACTTTCTTTACATAAATTTATTCGTTCAAACATAATTAATATATATATATATATATATATATATATATATATATTTGAAGGTAATCGAACCTATGTTTCATGAATATAATTCGGTAGACGTTTGAATAAGTAGTCTATAACAGAAGTTATAAGTTTATTGTTTAAGCTAATTAAACGGTTACTTGGGATTGAGAAATAGAAGTTGGAGAGGAGGTAGAAAATAAATGAACAAGTAAAAATAAACAAAAATATAAACATATGACCATGAATAGAATGATAGTAGCTTCAAAGTAATATATATATATATATATATATATATATATATACATTAAAATATATGAGTGTTGATAAATATGTTCATACATGCATGCATAAAGACAAATAAATAAATAAATAGGTAGATACACAAATATGACT